AAATGCCAGTGGTATTTTGATAAGGATTGCATTAAATGTGTAGATTGCTTTGGTAGTACAGACATTTTAACAATGTTTGTTCTTCCAATCCATGAGCATGGAATGTTTTTCCATTTTTTATGTCTTTCTCAATTTCTTTCATCAGTGTTCTTTATTTTCGGAGTACAGATCATTCACTTCTTGGGTTAGGTTTATTCATAGGTATCTTACGGGTTTTGGTGTATTGTAAGCTATTTCAAATCCTTTTTGAAGATGGGGTATAAATCAAACATTCCTTCACTCTTCCAAGCTGTGGGCTACCTCCACAAAAAAAGAGAACACAAATCACACACAGGACTGGGCCTCTAAGCAAATGAAGGGTTCTGAATAGAACATTTAGAAGCCAACTCATCTGTGTGCAGCTGCCCTGGACTTCTGGAAGAGGCACTTTCCTTCCCTCTTCCCCTGTGCTTGCCAGTGGAGTTTACAATGTGGCCCAATGTGGTGAATTACTTATGACTCTGGCATGAGGAGTCATCCTTTATTAGGGCAGCAGGACAGTCTTCTGCATTCTTACTTTCTGCTTAGGACCTGAAACTCTTTCCATTTTATTTTTCTTACTGACACAGTTGTAGGCAACTACTCTACAGATTTAACAAGTATCTAAGGGAAAGATAGCAGAAGTATCCATTAATGTCCTTAATGTAGGTTTTGACATTAACTGAACATTGATATGCCATCATTCATCAGTTTAGAACTTTAGCCACAAGAGAAAACCCACTGGTGTTTTTATGACATCAAGAAATTAGATGAAAACTAAAAAGTGCTCTTGAAAAAAACCATTTTTCCAGCTATCTAAATATTTGGCATTGGATAAACACAAAATAGTCCTTTTTTCTGTGTGGGAAATGTAATTTGTAATACCTGCTCTCAATTTTCTTGTCAGTTTTCTCTAGCATCTTCTCTCTAAAGTTTTTATTAATGATTTAGAATCTGTGGGGATTTTCCTCCAAGCAAGAAATCTTTGGACGCTTAATGTCTTTTATGGTTATCTGGTCCATTTCTCCTCTTGGTGTTAAGCACATTTTCTCTCCTTACATATCTAAACTTTTATCTCTCTGTCCTAATTGTTCCTGATAACTTCTAGTGATGTACCTTGGCCCTAATGTCCATGTGTCACTTTGGACTTTCAAAGAAATGAAGAGAGAATGTTCAAGTATCAGTTCCTCTCCTTTCCCTGCCTGTCAGTGTAGGGCCCATGTAATGGGCATGGAGATGCTCTGTCCTGTTTTTTAACTTATTATGGAAAATTTCAAAGTAACACAGAAGTGGAGGAAATAGCATAGTGGACTCCTTTTCACCCAGCTGCATCATTCTACAGATGGTACAAATCTTCCTCCCCTCGTTTTTTTTCTTTTACTTACTTTTTTGCTAGAATATTTTAAAGAAAATTTAAGACAGCATGTCTTTTGACCTGTATATACTTCATTAAGCATTTCTAACTTAAACAGTATATTTTTATTTTATTATTTAATTGAAGTATAGTTGATATACAATATTATGTTAGTTTCAGGTGTACAACATAGTGATTTGACATTTATATACATTTTGAAATGCTTACCATGATAAAAGTAATTATCTGTCACCATCCAAAGTTGTTAAAATATTGGCTGTATTCACTGCTGTACTTTTCATCTATAACTTATTTATTTCATAACTGTAAAGTTGTACTTCTTAATTCCCTTCAGTTATTTTGCCCATTCCCCAAACCCCATCCCCTGTGCAACCACCAATTTGTTCTCTGTATTTATGAGTCTGTTTCTCTTTTGTTTCATTTGTTCATTTGTTTTGTTTTTTAGATTCCATCTGTCAGTGAACTCTTATGGCATTTGTCATTCTCTGTCTGGGCTATTTCACTTAGCATAATACTCTCTAGGTCCATCTGTGTTGTTGCAAATGGCATGATTTCATTCTTTTTAATGGCTGAGTAATATTCTAGTGTGTGTGTGTGTGTGTGTGTGTGTGTGTACCACATCTTCCTTGTCCATTCATCTTTGGATGAACACTTGGGTTGCTTCCATATCTTGGCTATTGTAAGTAATGTTGAAATAAGCATAGGGGTGCATAGATCTTTTGGAATTGGTGTTTTTGTTTCCTTTGGGTAAATACCCGGTCATGGAATTACTGGGTCCTATAATATTTCTATTTTTAATTTTTTGAGGAACTTCCATACTGTTTTCCACAGTGGCTGCACCAGTTTATATTCCCCCCAACAGTGCATGAGGGTTCCTTTTTCTCTACATCCTCGCCAACACTCGTTATTTCTTATATTTTTGATAGTAACCATTCTGACTGGTGTCAGGTAATATCTCATTGTGGTTTTAATTTGCACTTTTCTGGTGATGAGTGATGCTGAGCATCTTTTCATGTGTTTGCCATTTATGTCTTCTTTAGAAAAATGTCTATTTAGGTCCTCTACCCACTTTTTAATGGGATTTTTTTATGGTGCTGAGTTCTATAAGTTCTTTATATATTTTGCATATTAGCCCCTTATCATATATATCCTTTGCCAATATTTTCTCCCATTCAGTAGGTGACCTTTTTTTTGTTGATGGTTTCCTTTGCTGTGAAAAATATTTTTATTTTAGTGTCCTGATATTTATTTTTGCTTTTGTTTCTCTTGCCTCAGGAGACATACCCTTAAATATGTTGTTGAGGTCAATGTCCAGGATATTGCTGCCCATGTTTTCTTTTATGACTTTTACAGTTTCAAGTCTTTAATCTATTTGCATTTATTTTTTTCAAGTCTTTAATCTATTTGCATTTATTTCTGTATATGGTATAAGAAGGTGGTCTTGTGTCATTCTTTTGCATGTAGCTCCCCAGTTTCCTCAGCACCCTTTGTTGAAAAGGCTGTCTTTTACTCATTATGAATTCTTGCCTCCTTTTTTGTAAATTAATTGACCACATAGGCATGGATTTATTTCTTGGCTCCCTAGACTGTTCCATTGATTTATATGTCTGTTTTTGTGCCAGTACCATACTGTTTTGAGTACTATAACTTTGTAGTGTATCTTGAAATCTGGGATTGTGATGACATCCTGCTTTGTTCTTTTTCAAGATTTCTTTGGCTATTCAAGGTCTTTTGTGGTTCCATGTAAATTCTAGTTCTGTGAAAAATGCTATTGGTATTTTGATAGGGATTGCTCTCAATCTTTAGAGTGCTTTGGGTACTATGGACATTTTAATAATATTAATTATTCTAACCCATGAGCATAGCATATCTTTTTATTTGTTTGTGTCATCTTCAGTTTCTTTCATCAATGTCTTATAGGTTAAGAGTATGACTTTAACCTCCTTGGTTAAGTTTAATTGTAGGTAACTTATTCTTTTTGGTACAATTATAAATGGGATTGCTTTTCTTAATTTCTCTTTTTGCTACTTTGTTATTGGTGTATAGAAATGCAACAGATTTTTGTGTACTAATTTTATATCCTGCAACTTTACTGAACTCATTTATTAGTTCTAAGTAAGGCCATATATGAAAAACCCACAGCTAACATCATACTGACTGGTGAAAAACTGAAAGCTTTTCCTCTAAGATCAGGAACAAGACAAGGATGTACACTCTTACCACTTTTATTCAACATAGTACTGGAAGTCCTAGCTGCAGCAATCAGACAAGAAAAAAAGAAATAAAAGGCATCCAGATTGGTAAGGAAAAAGTAAAACTGTCACTATTTGCATATGACATGATCTGATATGTAGAAAACCCTAAAGACTCCACCAAAGGTTCCTCCATGTCTTCTCATGGCTCGATAGCTCATTTCTGTTTATCACTGAATGGTACTCTATTGTCTGGATATACCACTTTTTTTTTTTTTTTTTTTTTTTTTTTTTTTTACTTACCTGCTGAAGGACATCTTGATTGCTTCTAAGTTTTGCCAATTAGAGTTAAAGCTGCTGTAAACATCTATGTGCAGGTTTTTGTGTTAAATTTATACCTTGGTTTTTGTTGTTGTTTATAAAATCATTTATTCCATTATATTTTTCAGCTGTTTTTTGCATATGTTGAAGTTGTTGATTCTGCACTTAATTTTGTATGCTGTAGCTTGACTAAGTTATCTTGTTTGTAATTGTTTTTACATTATTTTCTTTTGAGTTTTCTAGATACATAGTTGCATCATCTGCAAATAGAAATAGTTTCACCTCTTCCATTCCAGCTCTTATGCCTTTAATTTTTAAAATCTTACCTATTTGCACTTGTTAATATGTTCAATACAAGGTTAAATGGCAATGGTAATAATCTTGTTCCTGACTCCACTGGGAATGATATTAAGTAAGAATCTGACTTTTGAGTTCACACACACAAACACATCATGAATAAGCTACTGTTTCAGCAGTTTCTGTTTCTAAAGGATAATGGCCCACAACATCTGGAGAGCCAGCCCGTGTATAGTTGTTCTTGAATGAATCTGGGTTTTTCAATGAGAGTGCCTTGGATTAATAGATGACATCCTTTCTCTTCCCATGGATGTGAGCTAAAGGCTTCAATTTCTAGCAAATACATTTCTAACTGAAATTCTCTTTAACCTGAAGTTATGCCTTCCACAGGAAAGAATATTACATTTGAAGCTTCTCATTAATATGACAGCAGTGTCTTCCCCTTTTTCCTATATAAGACCTCTATATCCTGAGAACTGCAATCTTATGATAGTGGCATTAATTTTATCTTATGGAGACATTCTGATCCATTATAAATATTTCATTAATTTGTTTAGAGCATAAGTGAGTAGACTTTGGTAGCAATATGAGGGTTAGAAGAGAGGGCTCCCACATGCAAAGAAAGGTCAAAGCTCATGATTTTAATATAGACCTTATGTGTATTTTAAATTACTTTCTAATTTACTTGTCCTGTTAGATGTATTTAATGAAAGTTAGACCAAATGTATGCTTTTAATAAAACTCTCTATCAAAGCTTCATGACAACTAGATTTTTTTCTTCTATTTGTCTCTTACAGAGGGCATAAAGACAAGATATTTGTGGTTAAGTGTAACCCACACCATGTTGACAAACTGGTTACAGTTGGGATGAAGCATATCAAATTCTGGCAACAAGCAGGTATTGTTTGGGTTTATCGTTTATGTGGTTGAAAGCTTTAAAAAAAATCTATCTGAAAAAAAGCCCACCACCATTACCTAGCCAGTCTCTGCAGTTTAAAATTAAAATGTTCCTGGAAGACATGCTCTTCCAAATTCACTTTGAGCTGCTTAATGTCCAAGCTGTAAAACTCAAACACTCTATCTGATGCTGTGCATGTTTGTCAATATCTAGAAAGCTTTGGGAAATGTTCTGTAAAAACAATTATTTTTATATTTAATCATCTGTTCTGAAAGCTGTAATTATATTGGACCACTGAACAGGAAATAAAATAATCACTTTGGTTGAGTGGATAACATTTTCAGTATTTTGAGGGTTCTTTTATTACTTTATCACTGAATGTAAACATGAATTAAACCCCAACACTATACACAACAGGTGATCCAAATAAATTTTTGTGCATTATAATATTGATAATAAGGATGAGTGAATAAGCATATCAAAACATGCAAGGACATCCTATTCTTCTCACTAATAAACCAGACCTGTTATTGGGATTGTGAATTCTTAGTATTGGCTTAGGTACCATGCACACGTAATCTTGCACTGGACAAAATGTAAACATGCAACTGTTCCAGTGCTTTCTGCTTTTAAAGAAAAGATAATGGCACCCAACATGTCTGGAGAGCCAGTCTATGTGTAGTTTTCTGGACTAGGTCTGGGTTTGTCAGTGCTTATCAGGAAGTACAGGGAAATGTGAACATCTCAAGGACAAATCTGATGTACCTTTTCCTACACAGTGATTCATTTTCTCACCCTAAAGTTCCCATGACAAAAATCGAGGCAAAACATACGTCACATGTTCACATTTTTCATTACTGCTAGTGTTGTTCGCATTCTCTTTGGTCAGCATTCATGAAGACTTTCCTAGCTAGCCCAGGCACTGAGTCCCTCCTCTGCTGGCTGGCATGGAACTGGCACTGAACCTTGGTTAGATGAATGTCCTGTTGGAATGAGATGCATAAGGACAGCCTCTCTCCAACCAGAACCTAAGTTCATTGAATGAAGAAACTCCTTCTTCTCATCTTTATACCCCAGCATTGACCACTGTATCCACCACAAAGGGGGGATTCAATAAACATTGAATTAATGAATGTGTAAATGAGAAACCCTCTTAGAATATTTTTGTTTATGATGTTTTCTGCCATCTTTATACATCTTTCCATATACATATAACATAGACACACTGGGGTTTTCATTGAAGGCAGTCATTCCAGATGCTCATAGAAGGTGTCAGTATGTCAAAAAAATAATAAATGGTCTTGGTCCACTTCAGGTGGGGGCTTCACCTCTAAAAGAGGAATTTTTGGAAGTGCTGGAAAATTGGAAACAATGATGTGTGTTTCTTATGGGCGAATGGAAGATCTAGTGTTCTCAGGAGCAGCTACTGGAGATATTTTTATTTGGAAAGATATTCTACTACTAAAGACAGTGAAAGCTCATGATGGGCCTGTGTTTGCTATGTATGCATTGGATAAGGTATGGCATATTTTCATCATTAGCTTTCTAAAATTATAAGTTAGTCTGAGGAAGGCCCACACCAGCAGGATGCTTGCTTGTCTCTAAAGCCTGTCTGAATTGGGAAATAGTTGTCATGAATGGAGAGGAGTACAAATATTTTTAAAAATTCTTTCATTTATAATTATTTCTTTATGGGCAGTTACTACTTTTTTCATACTCATTCCTCCTAGCTCTCAGCCCTGAGAGCCCCTTAAGAGGTGTTGAAATAATGTACAAACCCAGTAGCAGACAAGTCCTGAGAAATGTTTCAGCATTCTCTTCCTCCTTTGTACACAGCAAGCAAAGACCTCAAAGTACCAAGTGGTTCGATTATTGTCCCACTCATCAATTTGACCAAAAGTTTAGTTGATAACCAGTTTGTTCCTGTGTAGACAGGTTCAACTTTAACAAGAGTGTTAGAGTGAAGTCTTGGCTTTGTGTGTATTAGGGTTTTCCAGAGAAACAGAATCCGTAGGACATACATACACATACACATCTACCAAAAAAAAAAAAAAAAGATTTATTATAAGGAATTGGTTCGTGCAGTTATGGAGGTTAAGCATTCCCACTGTGTCCTCTGCAAGCTGTAGCCCCTGGGAAGCTGGTGGTATAACTGAGTGCGAATCCAGAGGCCAGAGAACCAGGGCTGCCACTAGTGTGCCTCTCAGTCTGAGGATGGGAAAAGAGGAGATGTCCCAGCTCGATCAGTGAGACAGAAAAAACAGGGATGCATTCCTCCTTCCTCTGCCTTTTGTTCTATTCAGGGTCTCAAAGAATTGGATGGTGCTCGCCCCCATTGGGGAGGGCAATCTACTTTATTGAGTGCACCAATTCAAATACTAATCTCACCTGGAAATACTCTCCCAGACACATACAGAAATAATATTTAATGAGAACACCCTGTGACCAGTCAGGCTGACACAAAATTAATCACACCTGCTCTATTTCCACTTAAGCTCATCTTTGTTGTCCAGCTACCTTCCTGCCTTAGTGTTTTGTTGTTGTTGTTGTTGTTGTTTGTTTTTTAAAGAAAGATCACACTTATTGTCAGTACTATGAAAATACCTTGTTCAACTACTTTGCCAGAAAAATCCATTTTTTATTCACTGCCAGCTTGCTGGTGGTACCAGTTTGTCTACTCTCTGACCTCTGAACAGCATAAGCCACCCAACAAACCTAACTAAGCCACGCCTCATTTTGCATTTCCCTGTTCCCAGGTAAATATGCTGATCCCAGTACTGAAGTAGGTTCTTGTTAGATGTGCAACTAAAATGGTAGTTTTAGTGGTTAAGCTGTTTTTTACTGGTAAATTTGTTTTGGCTAAAACTGTACATTAGACAAGATGAAAGTAGAAAGCAAAATCTGAAGAGGTCTCAAAGTTGATGTGCTGTAACTTGTTTAAACTCTTTCACTGCTTGATAAGTTAATCTGAAACATCATGTAAAATACCAGGATGTCACAGTCTAATTTGAATATAATTTGGGGATTGAGCCTCCCCTACAAATCTATAATGAGAATATAGGTATTTAATGTAAAAAAAACTTCAAAATATTATTTCCTTGTGAACTTCATTGAAATAAAGGAAACTAAAAGTCTCCAAGAAAACAATTACTTAGTATTTTTCATTGAAAAAAGGTTTTTCCTTAGAGCAGTTGGTGTATATAATTTCCCAGAAAGAAAAACTAGTAAAGCCAAGAAATCATAAGCTTAGAACAAGAATAAAGATCACTTCAGTAAAAAACAAAAACAAACCTAATATGTTAATCATTTTACTTTCCAGGTTTTATAAAACTTAATCTGGATTTTAATTATTATGGGCATCGATGTCCATTGAACAAAATAGGATGGTTGTGTTACATGAACTGCCTAAGTTTCTCTTAAAAGATAATGATGTTTTCTCCTGGAAGTAAATATCTAATTTGAACGTATTTAATAATCATTTTTAATTGCAATGTTAATTCCAGTTCATTCAGTAGGAATAGATGAGATACCAGAAACTCTGCCAGGCTTTCCTGTTCCTTAGGCGCCCACATTTAAGTGGGGGACAGAGCACAGAAACGGCCATCCAGGATGGACCTACGGTGCCAGATACCAACCAAAGTTCTGAGGAAAGTGTGGGGAACACACATTGAAAATGTGCTTTATCCACTAGAGAAGTAGGGGAGGGATGCTTCTAGGAAATATTATATTAATATTACTTGTAATCAGGTTTTTCAGTCTCCTATACTTAGGAAGGAAACACAGACAAAGCTGCTTTTCCCAAGGGGAAGCCCTTTACAGGTCAGGTGGGCAACCTGTCATTTTGATGTATATTTCATTCTTCCCGTGTGTGCCTTCGCAGGGTTTTGTAACAGGTGGAAAGGATGGAATTGTGGAACTCTGGGATGATATGTTTGAAAGATGCTTGAAGACTTACGCCATTAAAAGAGCAGCATTGTCAACCAGCTCAAAAGGTGCCACCCCCAAATATGTGATCGGAATCTTTCTTTCCACAGGAATGGAAAAGATGGTACCGAAGCTCGTGGACACCCATTACTAAATCGGTTCTCCTTCTTCTGCAGTTAGACCTCTCAGCCCCTTGTAGAAATATCAAGGATGATTGCCTAGTACCTAGTACTTCTGAACTACAAAGACAGAGTATATATGATTATGAGGCTTGTTGTTGTTGTTCTACTAAATGCACTATTTACAATATTAAGTACAACATTTCCCCCCCCAGGCTTGCTTTTGGAAGATAACCCTTCAATTCGTGCCATCACTTTGGGACATGGACATATCCTGGTGGGAACAAAAAACGGGGAGATCCTGGAAATTGATAAAAGTGGCCCAGTGACGCTGCTTGTTCAGGTACTGTGCACATATGCTAACGCACGGTGCCCATCACAGCGGGGACTTGGGTGAGGCCTGGGGGCCGCTTAGGGTGCAGTGTTGAAGTACGCACTCAGTCTCAGGGTCGCGCAACTGCTGTGTGGATGACTTATTGCTATATAACAAATTGCCACAAATCTAGCAGCCTAAAACAATACATGTTTATTATCTTAGCTTTCTCTGGGTCAGGAGTTCAAGCATGGCTTGACTGGGTCCTCTGCTTAAAGTTTCACAAGGCTACAGGAAAGGCCTGGGCTGCAGTCTCATCAGAGGCTCACCTGAGGGAGGATCTGCTCCAAGATCATGCAGGTTGTTGGCAGAAATCACATCCTTGTGGTTGTAGGACTGAGGGTTGCATTTCTTGCCGGCTGTTGTATACATTCCTTGCCACATGGGTTCCCCAAAATGGCTGCTTGCTTCCTTGAAGCTGCGAAGGGAAAGAGGGAAAAACAGGCACTGGTCTTATGTGACATAATCATATCATCAAATGCATGTAATCAGGGACATCCATACCCTTTGCCCTATTTTATCAGTTGGCAAATAGTGATAGGTCATGCAACACTCGAAAGGGGGTGATTACACAGGGGGTGAAAACCAGGATCATGAGGGTCACTTCATGAATGTGTCCCCCACAGTCTTCCCTCTGGCTGCAATTATTACTGTCCCTACCATATGCAGAGTACATTCCCCCCCACCCCCAAGAGTATTATCCCCTTACAGTATCTGCTCAAAGTCCATAACCTCATTGTCTAAATCAAGTCCCGGTGTGGAGGAGGCTCTTTAGGTATTTTTTTTTTGATCTGTCAATCTATAAAACTATCAGGACAAATTATTTTCTCTACTCACACCAGATACACAGTGTCTCCTTAGATTTTTTGCCTCATTCTAGTCTCCATCTTGGTGCATAAAAACACATGACCTACTTCTTGCCCTCCATCTCCCCTCAGGAATTATATTCAGGTAAAATCACATTACAGTAACATCAACAGAATCCTCAAAGATCAGTGAAGTGATAAAATCTCACTTGAGGAGGTGAGACTATGTGGAGGTGACAGATAGTCCTACCCAATTTGGTGATGGACAGATCTTATTTGTAGATGGAAGAGACTCAGGTTGGGATGAGGGTGTACATTCAGAAGCTGGAGTGAAAAAAATATGCACTGGTTATAATAAGCTTCAGGACTTCTGTGGGTCCAATAGAGAAGCTTCACCTCCTTCTACAGGCTTGCTATATTAGAGATGAACCCCAAAATCCCACTAAGAGTGGCCCTTGGATTTGCTTCATCATGGGAACAGGTCTGCACACACACCGTGGTTCAGAACACTGTGAGGTTTTAAAAATGCATGTGCCCAAGTCCCACTCAGGATATCCTGAATAAGAATGTGTTTAAAGAAGAATTCTGTGTTAAAAACAAACCTCAAAAGCCCTGTAGCTAGGGGTGCCTGGGTGGCTCAGTCGATTAAGCATCTGCCTTTGGCTCAGGTCATGATTCCAGGATCCCAGGATTGAACATCACATTGGGCTCTTTGCTCAGCGGGACCCTCCTTCTCCCTCTCCCTGCCACTTCCCCTGCTTGTACTCTCTCTTTCTATCAAATAAATAAATAAATAAAATCTTTAAAAAAAAAAAAAAAAAGAAGGAAGGTAAGATTCCAAGCCCATTCCTATACCACTTGAGAAACTTCCAGCCTGTCTTGCTCACTGTCCATTCCTATGTTATGCAGAAATTTAGTCCCATTAGATAGGGAAATGCCATGTTTAAGTCAATATATGAGGCAGTGATTTAAAAGGGTCTCAGAGCACGCAACCCTGTCCTCAAGCAAAATGTAAAAGGGACTTGGTCTGGGAAAGACCTCCAAGCACATCCATTCTGGGGGGAAATTGGGGTTGACACCTGACCCATCCTCTGACCATGACGTTTGGGATGAGAGGCTTCTGAAGGGAAGAAAACTAGAAAACTAGGGATGTAGGGTACTCCAAATCCAATAAATTCAAAGACCGTATCTACACCCTTTGGCCCTTCTCAGATATTTGAATGTCAGCTCTATTTGGAACTTCTGCCAAATTACTGTTTTGCTCAAACAGTTTCCCTGTTAAACCAGAATCATCCAGTTTCTCTTCAGAAAGCCACCTGTTCCCTGAAGCAGTCCAAGTACAAACACCTTTCAGATGCTGTGTATGGTCTTCCTTTTTGCTTTACTAAGCAAAGCCTTTGTCTAAGTAGACACTAAACGCAGAAACTCAGTGAACGGTCTAGTCTGTTTTATTGTTCTGTGCACTAATCTATTCTTTACACTGCTTTATTGAGTGATAAATTACAGGCATCAGTCATTTTCTCCCTAATTGTTCATTTTTTAAACACTTTTATCTTATTTCTAAGCCATTTATGTGTGTGATAAGATACAGGTATATGGAATTGGCCCAATGCCTTTTAAGCACCTTTTAGTTGTCTGATATTCACTGGATAGAATAATGTGTGAACAAACACTGAACCTGAGTTATTCTCAGGACACTTGGTATGAAAACTGAGCTTTTGTTTTGCCAAATGCTATACATTCAAAGGACTAAAATTAATAAGAATATTGCTGTCCAAATTTAAACTTATACACTGTTATGTGTCACTTGTATCTCAGTAAGACTAGAAAAGAAGAGAAATATAACAACCAAATGCAATGCATATGCCTTAATTTGATCCTGGATTTTTTTTTTTTAAAGTAATTACTTTTTTGGGGGAAAAATAAAGAATATTGCTGTCCAATCCCTCTGACAGAGATAGGTGGTTACCTACATCTTTTAGAACATGGGTTTATTCATAAAGGTGCTTTGTGTCACGATCAAGCCGTTTTGCAAGTGTATGTGTGCCTATATATACTGTGTTAACTCAGTATCAAGCAAGAGGATCAAATGAGGGTATTTTATTATTTACCCAGATGTTTCTAAAAGGAAAAATATTTGGCATCATATAAACAAAGCTTATGAGCAACGAGTCCATGTTTTGCTTTACAAATGAAGATTTTGGCATCATGTAGACCCAGCTTTAGATTTAAGTTCAAATGAAAAAAATTATTCAGCGCTTTCATTTTGGTTTAAGGAAGCTCAACCTGTGTTTATTCATGTGTGAACCTGCTGGGTCTACAGCACAGTGCTACAGAAGGGCTAGCCAAGAAGCGCGAACCGAGTTTATATGGCCTTGTTTCCTCTCCCACAGGGGCACATGGAGGGAGAAGTATGGGGTCTGGCAGCCCACCCTCTCCTGCCCATCTGCGCAACGGTGAGTGATGATAAAACACTTCGGATCTGGGAATTATCCTCCCAGCACCGTATGCTGGCTGTTCGAAAACTCAAAAAAGGTACGTGATACCACTTTAACACATCTGTCAAAGTATTTACCAACAACAGAATGTGTTGCGTTCATTCATTCGTTCATTCATTCACTCAACTAATATTTACTGAGTGTACCTGGTACATGACCCCACTTATGCTAGGTAATGGGAATTCAGTGTTCGTTGCTACAGATAGAAATTCCAGAGAGCTGGCCTGATCTATTACTTCCTTCATTTCCTTGCACTGCACACACGTTTGCCACCTGGGGGCAATATGTCCTTCTTCTTCTCCTGGTGGAGATCTGTGGGAGTCCGTCAGAGTCCTTTACAACCCATCAGCTTGTAAAGAATGCTTCTTTATCTTTATGTCTAACAGTCTCTACAACTGATTTTACTACTGAAAAACAAAAGTTTTATTAAAAAAATAGTTAATATCAAGAAATGAGTAAATATGTATTTAACACCCTTTGCTACTAGAACAAAGAGGTACACCAAGAAGTGCAAATTCAGCAAACATTTATTGAGTGGCTTCTATGTGTCAGGTCCTGGGGATCCCAAGATGAACGGTCCCATCTCTAGTGTCAGAGATGGACAAGATTCACACAGAGTCCCAGCAACAGATGGTCCATTCCAATAGGGCGATTTGAGGAGAGTCTAAAAATGGGACCATTTGTTAAAGGGGTGGGTAGGGTGTTGAGGAATGACGAGGGATAGTGCAGCGCCATGCAGCTGCTAACAGCCAGGTACCTTCATCAGCCCTGGGCCTGAAGGGTCAAGAGGAGAGAACAATGCTAGAACCCAGAAGTGAGAACTTTGTGAGAGGACAGGCCGGACAGGAGCTAGGCCCCTCAGCCCAGGGCTGCCGCCAGTTCACAGTGACCCTGCAGGGGAGGCAGCTAGGGGGGTACAGAGCCCAAACTCCCTGTTCCCCCTTCCTCCTTTGCGCCCTCCCTCGAGTCTCCTTTTCATGCTCCCCCTGGGCCAAACGCAGCCAAAAGCCAGAGGGCCAGGGAGACCACTGACGCGATCTTTGCAGGCCAGCAGAAGGCACAGGGAGGGGTGGAGAGCAGATGTGGAGCAACAAATGAAAGATGTCTGACACAAACAAAGTTGTGTGGAGGCTCAGGAGAAGGCCTGCTGCCAGGGACAACTTCAGCAAGGAGGAAACCCGAGAGCTGAGGCTCAAAGCATTTGTGGAAGTTCTTGGGGAAGGATGAGATTGGGGTCTTGCCCTAAAATATTTATATGGGGTAGTTTTACAAGTAGAGAGACGTGGAGAATATATTGCAAGGGAATAAAATGAAAAAAGATGTCAACACAATAGTAACCATGATGGTGGCTGATCCTGTTGAGTTGGTGACTCCTAGCAGTTTGCATTTGATCTTCATGGGAACCTGAGTAGTAAGGCCATTATTCTTACCACGTACAGATTAGGAGACTGCAGCACAGAGAACTTCGGTTGTTTGCCTGAAATTGCACTGAACTCCCACCCAGAGAGAGTGGCTTCAGAGAACACGCCTGCGGCTACTGCCAAAAGCTGTTTTTCTCTGCCATCTTGCCTTTCTTTACAGTGGACTTGTGGGCCTTAGTCAGTGGGGGAGCCAAGATTCAAACCCAGGTCTGACTCTGAAGCCCATGCTTCTCACCACTGCAAGACTGAATCATTTGACCACTAATTTATCCTGGGAAAATGATACACTAAGACCTCCTTGTGAGTAACTTCAACATCAGACAGTGGACTTTATTCACTGGGTTAAAAATTAGTTCAAAAGAACAATTATCAACATATCTTAGATGGGATGACCGTTCAATCCAGTTTATAGCAGTTTTCCTGGTGTAATTATTACTAGCTCTCCCTTTCACTCTGAGAAGTGTCCTGGTTTGTATAATAACGTGTATGGTTAACCTCATCTTGATGACTCTCCTCAAGGGCAGGCTTGTCTTTTGTTCTCTCAGCCCTGGCACCATGTGTGACTCACAGTACATAAATAACTTGTTGCTACCTGAGTGCATGAATGAAGATAGAATTTAGATAAGGCAGTTTGCCGTTACTGGTACATAGCTTTCAGTATACCATGAACCGTGACGGAGGGGAGTGTGTGGAAGCTGAGTTTGGAGTGCCTTAGCACAAAGCTGTATGACCGTCCCATCCCTGGGGCCATGCTTACCAAAGTCTTGACAATAAGAAGGGGGGGCGGGATATTATTAAACAGGATTCCTATTAAACACCCCCACACACAGAGTCCACACTCATTCAGAAATACCTCTCTGTGACCCTGCAAAGCAGGAGAAAACATTGCTCACGTGGCACTGGCAGCTCGTACTGTTTAGAGACACCTTTTGAAAGAGTATTGTCCACGACAGAAGAGGCAGGATAAAATCTTTCACCTCTAGAATTATGCTTAGGACCCATGGATCAAAGTCTTGGAGTGACTCTAAGATCAACAAGGTCTCTAAAGCAAGTTTTATGTGTAAGGCACGATATCCAAAAAAATGGTTTCTAGAAACTGAATTCCAGAATTCCCATTCTTAAGTATCATCTCTCTTCTTGGAAGCAAAGGTACTGGTTTTATTAATCCTTCACTCCTTTCCCCCACTCACTCCTGGGGTCTTTTGAAAATCCCATGTACTCAGGTTTTAAGAAATGAATGGATAAACCTTAAAGAAATAGAAAAGGTTTTGTTTCATGGGGTTTTGTTGTTAGTTGTTTTAGCGTTCTGATCATTGCCCTTGAGTTTGAAGAGAGGATACGTTCTAAATTACAAAGTTTTAGTTCTCACAAATAATGTTAAAGACCCAGTCACATGTCTATGCGTAATGCACGTATGCAAATGTCCATCTCTTCATTGAGTTTGTTTGATAACAGAATCATCTTCGTGGATTCTTTTGTAGGGGGAAGATGCTGTGCCTTCTCCCCTGATGGGAAAGCCTTAGCAGTTGGCTTGAATGATGGGAGTTTCCTGGTCGTAAATGCTGACACTGTTGAAGACATGGTCTCCTTCCATCACAGAAAAGAAATGATCTCTGATATTAAATTTTCAAAAGGTGAAGATTACAGCAGAAACTTTCTAGAATATGTCAGGACAAAAATTTATAAGAATAGACTATTTAAATACTTCCTTGACCTTTCCCCATTTTGAAATAAGCTCCTGGAAGTAAATTCCTGTATAAAACGTTTGGGTGTTAACTGCACATTTTCTTTACAGATACAGGAAAATACCTTGCTGTGGCCTCCCATGATAACTTTGTGGATATTTACAACGTCCTTACAAGCAAACGCGTTGGCATCTGTAAAGGGGCTTCTAGTTATATTACACATATTGACTGGGACTCAAGAGGTAAAGTATGTTGAGGCTTCTAAGATATAATTTTTGTTTTAAAAAAGTCAATATCCATTCATGTATTGTTTCCAGAGAGAAGAACAGTTGAGTTTTGGAGAAAAACAGAGTGGGGAACCCACAACCAATATAAATGACTGTAACTTTACACCCCAGGGGCACCTACTATTAACATTTTGAGTATTTTTTCTGTGTTATTACTACTACTACAGTTACTGTTATTAATTCAAGCCTTTGAGTTTTAAGATCGTTAAAGATACGCGATGCCTTCCGTTACCGTAGCAAGCCACTCCTTCACCTTTGGGCTCTGCAAGCTGTGTCGTTGCCTTGCGTCTCTCCCTTCCCGTTTTCCCTTTTCCTATCAGTGCTCCACCTCCCGGAGAACTGCCCAAGAAGTCTCCAGCAATTTTCACCTGCCGGCAGAGGTAGAGAGCTCTATTCAGCTCACCTGAAATATCACCCTACTCTCCAAAACTCCCAGCCGCTCCCCCACCTCCTCTAAGTCACACCCATAACAAATCTAGTTTCGACCATGTGCGAAGTTTTAAGCCAGAAAATGTGAATGATTCAGAAGTAAGACACAGTTCCTGTAGTTCTCCACCAGAGTTCATAAGTTAGTGAGGGAGACGTACTTGCACTTGAAGTACAGGCCCCCCCAGTAAGGCACTGGAATGAGAAACGGTGAGTCACAGGGCAGTGGCGTGCAGGGCCTCTGAATGGGCCGTGTCAGCATTAAGGACCCAGGGTGGAGCAGCATTATTACAGTGTGGGTCACTTTTTTTTTTTTACTTTTTTTTTTTATTATGATACGTTAATCACCATACATTACATCATTAGTTTTTGACGTAGTGTTCCATGATGGGTCACTTTTAAGTCTCATCCCAGAGACTTGGCTGATGTTAGAGTTTGGGGTAGGCATCTAGGAATGGGCGGGGTCCCAGCTGCCAAAGAAGTTTTAGTTGAGTGTGATAGAAAAGCACCAAGCCCAGGGGTGTCTTTGAGGAAAGAGCTCATAGGGGAATCCACGGAGCCTCATGGAAGCAACGTCCTTTGAGATGGATCTTGAAAGATGAACAGAAGTTCACCAGATGGTGAAGTCTAGGACGAGCGTTCCAGACTCAGAAGGAATATGGCATGTCAAGACAGGAGATGCAAAGAACAGGGGGAGGTTAAGAAATAGTGATGTTGAGTGGCTGAGGGCAATAAGGGAGGGGGCTGTGGAGAGACAGACCAGGACAGGCTGCAAAGGAACATTTATATCATGCGCCAGGGAGCTGAGCGCTGAACTTTATCCTGGAGGTATCAGGTAACTCTAAGGAACTTAGGATGGGGCATTCCCTGCTGCCTTGGGAGGACGAGTAAGCCTGGAGTTGGAAAGCAACTAAAATCAGCCAGGAGAGAGAGGGGCTGAGGGCCTCAACCTGCAAGAGATGATTTCAGAGTTGCCAGAATACTTTATTTCAAGTATTGCTTGAAGTACTGGCCATAGACAGACGGATCCTTCTGCTAGGCAGGTATTCATTTGTAACCATACCTGCTGCCCTGGGATTTGGACTTTATTTGAGCCTTACAACCCATAGGCGTTTTATACAGGGCACTAGATGGACGGAAACATGCCGTGGATTGTAAAGTGCAAGTTCCAGCAAGGGCAGAGGGAGATCACATAAGTCCCTCTCACTTTCACATCAGAGCCCTGCCAGACACAGTGTCAAGGGCCTAGGCTGGCCTTGGTGACCAGGCAGTACACTGATGGCCTGAGAATCCTCTAGGGACCAGTGAGGCTGAGGAGGTAGAGGGAGACAGTTGCTTCTCAGCGCCTCCCCACCCCCATGCATGTTCTCTGCCTTATTGTTAAAAAAAAAAAAAAAAAAAAAAGGAGTGACTTCCCCCTTGGTATCTTCTTGCTAACGTCCCTATTTATGCCATCATGGGAGCAGAGTTTAGAACACTCAGGGCCAGCCTTATGCATACACAGAGTAGAGTACGGATCGTTTTGTTGGGGATCCAACACCCACACAGTATGTGGCACAGCGTGTGAAATCCCACCATTACAGTGACCATTGATGGGGGGCGCTACACTCAGTTATTATTTACGTGAGAAAATGGGACATAGGAAGAATAAATTTCAATTGGGAAGATTTCTTTTACATTAGTTTTAATTGTGGTAGATACACATAAAATTTACCATCTTAACCATTTTTAAACGTACAGTTCAGTGGCATTAGCTGCATCCACATTGCTGTGTGCCCTTCACCATCGCCCATCTGCACAAACTGTCTTGTAAACCATCAATAACTCCCCTTCGCCCCTTCTCCCAGCCCCTGATAACCACCATTCTGTGTCTCCATGAATTTGACTACTCTAGGTAACTCATGTAATTGGAATCAGACAGTATTTGGGTTTTTTTAAAAAAGATTTATTCATTCATTTTAGAGAGAGTGAGAGAACATGAGCGAGGGGAGGGGCAGGAGGAAAGGGAGAGAGAGAATCTCCAGCAGACTCCCCGTTGAGCACAGAGCCCGATGTGGGGCTCAATTTCAAGACCCTGAGATCACTACCCAAGTTGAAATTAACCAACTGAACCACCCAGGCGCCCCCATAATTTGTTTTTTGTAACTCATTTATTTCACCTAACATAATGTCAAGATTAATCCATATTGTAGCGTGGGTCAGAATTTCCTTCCTTTTTAAAGCTGAACAATACTCCACTGTATGTATAGACCACATTTTGTTTATCTAGTCATCCATCAGTGGACACCTGGGTTGCTTCCACCTTTTAGTTATTGTGAATAATGCTCCTATGAACATGGGTGTACTAGACCCTGCTTTTAATTCTTGGGGGGTATAGACCCAGAAGGGGAATTGCTGAATCATATGGTGATTGTATTTTTAATTTTTTTTAAGAACCACCATACCATTTTCCATAGTGACTACACCACTTTACATTCTTACCAGCAGAGCACAGCGTTCCAATTTCTCTACATCCTCACCAAAACTTGTTATTTCTGGGGTTTGGGGAGGTCTTTTTTATAGTCACTATCCTTATAGGTATGAAATGGTATCTGACTGTGGTTTTTACTTGCATTTTTGGTATTATTTTTTAATTCTGCAAATGTATGGCACCTGGGTGTCTCAGTCAGTCTGCCTTTGACTCCGGTCCTGATCCCGAAGTTCTGGGATCGAGCCCCGCATTGGGGCTCCCCTGCTCAGCAGGGAGCCTGCTTCTCCCTCTCCCTCTGCCATTACCCCTGCTCATGCTCTCTCTTTCTTTCTCAAATAAACAAATAAAATCTTTAAAAAAAAGTTAATTCTGCAAATGTGTAGGCCCTGTATCACTTAACTATGCTAGGGATATAAAGAGGAGTAAGTCCTAGATGGAAAGAGCAAGATCTTGGCCAGGACCAGTGGGTCGCAATCATGCAGGTGTCCAGGTGACGGCCTATATAGATGGCCCTCTGTGTGGAGCCATCACTTTGCAGGGAGAGAGGCACACCTCACTATTTCCATAATTCTGCCCTAAGCCAGCCTCTATGGTCCATCGGAGCTCAGGGTGATGGAAAAGGCCCTGGGAGTAAGGAGGCTGAGTCTTTGAAAAGCCTCCTCATCTCTTGTCCTAAGTGGCCCCTTGGGTCAGGTGACAGCATCAGACCAAATATTTTCTATGGACAGAGAGGAGAATAGAATACTTCTGATTTTCAGGGGGGCGTTATGCCATCCGGAGAATAAGAGCAAGTATGCCCATGGATCTTCCCTGGTTTAACTCCACTGTGATGGCCGTGAGACATGTGTCGCATTGGTATGCTTGTGCTCCTGATATCCCAGTTCCCAAAGTGTCTGACCTCAGGAATGTGCCATACTGTCTCAAGACCAACCTAGCTTTTCACGGCAGGGCCTCGAGGGTCTGGCAGGGGTAGAGAGCAGAATTCAGGAGCAGGGATCTGTTTCATTCCTTTGATCTTGTCAAAAATAGTGAATACATTTGCCAGAGCCAGCTGGCTCGTCAGGGGTGGGGGATGGCGCAGTCACCAGCCGAGGCAGCCTTTCGTGTCCATGGCAACCACGGGTCCTAAGAAACCAAAAAGCGCATCAGGCTGTTGCAGGAGTATCAGCTACCCCTGAATGAAAGCTCCTGTACAGAATGCTTGAGAAAGAAAAAAAAAATGTGGGGAGAGAGAAAATAAGGGAAGAACATTTTCTAGCTGATATTAGTTCATTTCTAGAAATATCAGTACTGTAAGATTTTTACCAGTCAACACTTTGGGCCGTAATAGAATGCTCTTTGCCATTTTCATTGCAAATGGTCTGATATATTTGGTACATTTAGTATGAATTTTGGAACTGTTCTAACCTGTGAATTATATAGCAACTGGGATGATGGGTGTGAATCATTTTGTGGATTCTATAGCTCTATACACCTGCGGGGATTGTGGTTTCCTATACCTGCTTAGTAATGAGGACATCTGGACTTTCCAGTTCTCTTCCTACTTGTGAGTAGACATTTCTAGTGAATAAAAATTTGGGGATTCTGAAAGAATAGGGTTACTCCTACTAAGGGGCAATTATATGTGGATTATACAGATTTTTTGCTCTTTGCTTCTGTTCTCAGAATATTTCGGTGCTTGTATGACAGAGAAGAAGGCAGCAGAAAAAAAGAGTGGTGACCTAAATATTTTCTCTATGCTTAAAAAAAAAAAGTAATAACCTCGGTAAAGAATAGGGTGGGGGCAGGGGGAGGAATCACACCCATAATTTCACTTTCCTAACAAAGAATTGTTGCAATTTTTTAAAATTCCTTCGTATCCTTGGTTGCAAGGAACTCAAACCCACTCAGCTTAAAATTTTTTAAATGATAATGAAGAATGAGCTTATTGGGAAGATACAAGGATAGCTCATAGAATCCAAGAGCAGGAAGCACATCTCCTGAGGAACTGTCTTTAGGAACGAACCAGAAAACCAAGCAGGCACTTCTCCCCTCTTCTCTCCTCTCCTGCTCCGAGGCAGCTCAGTTCAGTGTCCACTGCTGTCCTTGGTCTGGTGTCTGTTTTTGGCCCCTCTCTCTGCACAGGCAGCTTCCCTTAATTCATTTGCACTTGGTCCACTCAGTCACCCCAAAATGCCACTCTCACTTCCAAAGCCCACATCTTATCCCAGCTAGGCACCCACTGATTGGGTCTCCTAGATTCTGAGTTCCAAGGAAAGAGAATTTGAGTGCCCACTCCCATCTCTGGCCCGGCCCGTCCTGGGTCATTGTCCTCCAGAGGACAAACACGACCACAGGGGTCCAGCCCAAGATGGGGGGCAGTTCTCAGGGAAGGGGCACGAACTAGGTTGGTACCCCACGGGCATTATGGTGCTGGAGAGCACTTCCGGTGCTTGTCTCTTGTGTTTAGATTTTCTAATAATCTTGCAGTCATAAAGTGCTTCACTGAACTATGCTAATAATTTTAGGGTGTTCTTTAGGTAAAATATTATCTCTGAAACTACTGTGTAAAGTGAATTGTTGGGATTATCTGGGAATTATAATTCTTTGAATTCTCTTAGTATCTCATGGCCAGAAGTCATCTAAAATTAGCCACTGAATCAAAGGCTGTTTTCATTGAATCCTTTAATCCCTTTTCCAGGTCATTTGTTATTTGCACTTCCTCTTGAGAATCCTAAAAAATACTTTGTAGGTCTATTTAGTCATTGGAAAAATATTGATTATTCATTTTCTTATAATACTAAATAGCCAAAACTAATTTAACTGCCTTTTTTTTTTCTTGTTTGTGTATGTTCAGCCATAAATTCAGGGAAATGTGCCCCTTTCTAAGGAAATGTTTTCGGATTCACTTGCTCCTCACAGCCAAGGTCCCTCATCACCATATTTATTATAACCCAGCAAATTAGAAATAGTTAAGGTTTTCAGTTACAAAATTAGAGAGACTTATTTTTAATCAATCACTGAGAAATAGACCTGCATCTTCAGAAAGTTAGCCAAACCAGCCTGCAGACCCAGGTGGTACCCACCTGAGCATTAAAGAGCATGATAGAAGACACAAAGTTCTTTTTTGATATTACTTTTGCAGGAAGGACATTTCAAGACCACTAGATGTACAGAGTTGTGAGGGAAAAGCGGGGGAGGAAATAGTATGATGTAAATATGCACAGAATTATTTACAGATGAAATATTAGGCCATCTGAGGTTTGCTTCGGAATAATGTGGTGAGGGCCTGAGTGGAGGCTCATGGAATGGGGTTAGGCCATGTGCTAATAACTGTTAGAGCTGAACATTGACTGGGCACATAGGGGTTCTTCGTACTCTTCTTACTTCTATGTGTGTTTGAAATGTCCTGTGATTTTTAAAATGCTGAAAAAATATCAGAGTCTGTATCTTTTCAGTCATTTAAATTTCAAGGCATAAAGAATTAGTGAGGTGTTAGGAGGAGAATCAGGGTATCTAATCTTCTTCAACATTAATCAAAATGAATCCAAGATTTTAATTTTACATCAGACCAAAAGACCATTTTTGTTCAACACTTTGTTTTGGGAAAATCTTGGATTTCTTTACAAATTTTCAAGTAAGATGGGGGGGGGGCATTTATAGGTTGTTCTACACATCCTTATCTTCCAGTTTCTAAACTTCAAAGGACAAATTTAGAATTTAGGCCTGGATAAATGTGGATGCTTGCCACAAGGTTTTCACTTCTGATGCCATAGTTCTTGCCAAAGCCGTTTCCTTTTACTACACGCTTGTGCAACCCGGCAAATGAGCAAAAAATCCCGGTTTTTGTCAAGCTTTTGAAAAATATGTACTTCCTTTGCAACAGAGTAAAACACAGCAGGCTTGATGCTAGGAGGGATGTGCAAGGCCACATTAAAAGGGATGAGGTCCACATTAACAACCTCCTGGTGGCTTCGGGGCCTGCACCATGCCATGCAATCGCCTTTACATGCACTTCTGGAGAATTTACCATTTATTTGCTCAATTTATGAGAATGATTCAAATGAATCAGAATAGTTGCAACCGTGCTTATCTCTTTACAATAGAAAGATAAATGCAGATGTGAATTGTCTTTCTGCTTCGTTCTCTCATACCAGGAAAATTACTGCAGGTTAATTCGGGTGCCAAAGAACAGCTCTTTTTTGAAGCTCCAAGAGGCAAACGGCATATAATAAGACCTTCAGAGGTAATAGTCCTACACAGAGCTTTTTAAAAAGTGTTTTGTGAAGATGTAATATGTGCATTTTAAGTAAAAACCTGTCACTTATTATCCACCAGTATGGGTTATATTCAGTGTACCTTTAAGCTTGCTCGCGTCTTAAATCTGACTGCTTCATCGGGTTCCCTACGTTCTGAGGACCTATGGATTCCCGGGGCTGCTGATGTGGCATCATGCATTCGTGCAGGCGGCCTTCAGCTCCATTTCCCTCTGCTGGAAGACACCGACTAAGCTAACAGCTTGGATGCCACATAGTACTTCTTCCATTGGACACACCCTGTCCTTTTGCGCACAGCTTTCTGTGAACATAAATTGCTGAAACATGCTTTCTCACTCTTTACTATTTATTATAGTAATACCTTCTGCAACAACAGTGAGAGAAATTACTTTTCAAAACAAAACCTATCTACAACCTGACCATCCATTTGTATCAAACTGTTTCCCTTCTCCCTGTTTTCCTAATGTCCTTGGCCACTTAACGTCATTTTTTAATTGTTGAAATCAAAGCCTATATACAATTTTTGAATCCATGACCTAATGCCATCCTAAAGCCTCGGCTGCTCTTGTGGGCAAGTGGCTCTCTCAGGGTCTGTGCTAACGCGGATGGCCAGAAGGTAATTGCCTGATAGAGCACTAAGGACCTCTGCTTAGCCCCAGGAGGCAATTTATTTGCTATGTAACATTTGAAGAAAGAAAAGGAAATCTTGCTTCTTTAGAGGGAAAGGGGTCAGAGGATACACAGCTGAGGGACAGGCATCTGCCTCTCTCTGACTGCAGTTTGCCGGTAATAGAAACTATCCCATGGTTGCAAAGTGCCCCCAGGGACCCTGGGACATGGGCCCATTCATGATGTTTTCGTGGTTTCTAAAAGAAGTACAAAGGCATTACATAAGAAACAGAAGTTGTTATAGATGATGACATCGTATTCATGGAAATTGTTTACTGATCAATTGCTCTCACTCCCAGATCCCAATTTATTTCTCTCTGATCAGTTGCTGTTTTAACTTTTTAAAAGAAATTTCTGTAGCCTTGAGAAAGAGATATTTTAACTTATGTCATTTGTTCACTGGATACTTGGTGAATGTGCCGGGCCCTTCATGTGCCTGTATTTTTGTCTGCAGAAGTGCCTTGTGTGATGGTTGTCAGTCTCCTTTTACAGAGAGGGAGATGAAAGCTCCAGGAGGGTAAGAACCATGGAGCTGTGGTCCCAGTCTTGAGGGGTCCATGTGTGACTCGGCAGCTAGACCACGGGGCCTCTTGGATTTCTCCTGTGTAGTTAAGCATCATTTTACACCACTGCATCTGTATTTTCCCTTCATGTTCTGGTGCCCCAAAATAGGTATACTGAAATAAAATCCAGTCTAACCAAGTGGTAGAGGGGGAGTGATGCCAACTTGGGACCGAGGAGCACTTACTATGTATAAGAAGAGTAGGCACAAGAGGGAAGTTCGTGTTACGAGGCTTCTTGCAATGCCAGGCTCGGGCTGTGAAGAGCTCACTTGTCACTCTGCGGTACACGGTTGGTATCCCAGAGGCTGCTGTCTGGTGCCGCTGTCTGGGGAGGCCATGAAGCTGATGTTTCCATGCCTGGGCCTCCCTGGGCTTGCCACCTCAGGGCACCAGAGAGGCAGCTCAGCATTTCCTTTACCAGCATTGTCAGGCCCTTCATCTGCATATGAAGGATTTGGGAAATCCTCTTTCCACAAAAGATTTAAAAAAAAAAACAAACCAGCCACAGTGAAACTAATGCAAAGCTTGCTGAGCAAATTGTGAAGTACGGCAAATATTAAAATATCTATTTAAATCCTCCTGCTGCAGCCTGGTGCAGTTAAAGCCGCACTAAACTAGGAGGCCAGCTCTCTCGAACTCGCTTCCCCTCTGCTCCTAAGCCGGCTGTGCTGGACGTGGCTCGCCTCTGTGGGCTTCAGTTCCTTCCCCTGGAAAATCATGATGGTAATGACACATCTGCCCGAGGTGAGGTGCTGTGGAAAAGACCCTTTGAGGACCCTTCTTCCATCTAAGTTCCAGGATTTTTTAACAAGTTTACCTCCTTGGGGTTTTGCGAGTTACAGGGGGTCACTCTTAATGTTCCATTTTAAATGCATTTTCCATAGCTTCCAACAAATGAGATATTTGCTTGGGGACCACAGTGCCCAGCTCTGGCCAAGGGTGAGCTGCTGGGGTGACCACAGGGTGAGCCCTAGATACCGAGGTCAGGGAAAGTGGCACAAAGGGCGCTGGCCCTGGGGATGGACAGGAGGGTCTCAGAAATGGAATCTAGAATCTGGAAGGGAGTCGGTGACCAGAAAGCCTGCTTGTAGAACCAGCAGGAATGGTTCCCTTCTCTTCCTGCGAAGGCCAGTTTAAGCCACCTCAGGTCACCTCAGTCCGCAGTCCTGCCTAAGGCACCCGAATCACTAGCGCCAGCACAGCTTTTGGTTCCAGTTCTGCATGGGTCCAGAAGGGACACAGAACGTGAAATGAGGAGAAATTTAAGTAACTAAAACACATTCAACACCTCCCCACGTTGTGACTAAAACCCTAGCTCCATCTTTATCTTGCCGTTTCTCTGTAATGCTAAGGGATAATAGATCAAATCCCCCAGGAAAGTCTAATACACAGTGTGGTTACTGTTGTTTATTTTAAAAAGGAAAGCCTAGATTATATCAGGATTGGACCTATACAAATTTTAAGTCTTCTGTCCATGAATTTCAGACAAAATAGTTTTAAAGGATAAAATACATATTCATGGCAATGCAATATGAACAGTCCTTCAGATTTTTAAGATAGTCTCTGTGCTAGCTGCAGAATCTTAGTACTCACTCCTTCTAGAAAGCAGCCCTTCAAAACAAAAGTTGTATCTGTGACTTTTTAAAATAGTTTGTTAACTGATCAGCCCGAGTGATCAATGTAGCTCAGTGGTCCTCACTTGGCAGCAATTTTGCCCCCTCCCCCAGGGACATTTGCCAATGTCTGAGGACAACTTGGGGAGGGGGACTACTGGCATCCGGGGGTAGAAGACAGGGATGCTGCTAAAATACTACTGTGCACAGGACAGCCCCTGACAACAGAGAATCATCCGGCCTAAAATGTTAATAGTGCTGAGACTGAGAAACCCTGATCCAGCTTATGGATTCAACGATGGTAAATATCTAGGAAAGAACTAAAAAACTTTCTTACTCTCTGGTTTCCACAATTCTGAAATGTTGATTCTATCTGTAGAAAAATATATGGCTATCTGACTGTAGTGTTTATTAAGATAATGCAGATGCCACTCAGAAAATGCAGCTTAGAACTTCCGCACCTCAGATCACAACACAAATGCCTGATGTTGGTGAAGTCATCAGTTAGAACGACTCCACTTCGTATTGTTTCTTTTAAAAGAAAAACAGATGATACGGCATAAGGAAGGCAGTCAGTGGTATTGTAATAGGGCTGGATGGTAACAGATGGGAGCTACACTCATGCTGAGCAGAACTCAATGGACGCATAGACTTGTCCAGTCACCGTGCTGTACACTGGGAACTAATGTAACGTTGCACACCAGCTGTGACCGTGCTTCCATTAAAAGAGATCTCTAGGTTGTGCAAAAGTATGTTAACTTTCTTTCCTTATTTTTAAGATCGAGAAAATCGAGTGGGACACATGGACGTGCGTCCTGGGGCCCACCTGCGAGGGCATCTGGCCCGCGCATAGTGACGTGACTGAGGTCAATGCGGCCAGTCTTACCAAAGACTGTTCCCTCCTAGCAACTGGAGATGATTTTGGCTTTGTTAAGCTTTTCTCCTATCCCGTCAAGGTAATACTGCATGTTTATTATATATACTTGCTCAGTCTCATTAATAACTTAAAATCTATGTATTGTATCTAAGTGGATTTTTAAATATTGAAGGCATAAGCAGTCAGTAATGTCATCAGCAGCCCTCTTGTTATGAATGCTATCTAAACACCTCATGACTTATTTACTATAGAAGCCTGATTCTCATGGTATCGAATTCTTCCTTGAAAGGCCTTCAATGGCCATTAAATCCAACATCTCACCAACTGCAAAGGAGGAATTTCTTTACAATGTCTTGGACCAGTGTCTTTCCAACACGTACTAGCATACTTCCAGAGAGGAGGGATTTACTACCTCACAAAGCAGCCCAATTCATTATTAAAAAGTTCAGTTGTCAAAATGTTCTGCTCTATACAGAGCAGAAATTTCTTCTCTTTAGCCAAAGTTCTGCCTTCTGAACCATCACCAAATAACTGCGGTCCTCTAACGGTCTTCGTGTGGAGGAAGATAGTATTTGACTCCCTGAAATCTCATTTTCTCCTGCCTAAATGTGTCCGGTTCTTCAGCCATTTCCCACAGGACGTGGTTTCCAGCTGCCCCTGCCTCTGAGCACACGCCATGTTATCAGTTCCATTCCAGACTCTTTCAGCTGAAATGGAATTCACCACTTCAGATGTTGACCAGCTCAGGCTCAGTGGGACTCTTACCTTCTTCTTTTGATTTTGTATTTGGTTTAAATCAAACTAAAATGGCACCAACTCTATGGGCTGACACACTATGCAACTGAATCATAGATTTCATTCTAAAAAAAAAAAAATGTTTAGGTTATCCCTCATATGTACACAATTGATTTTCTAAAATTTGAGTACAGAACTTTATATTTGTACCCAAATGAGATTTATCTTACTACACCTTGTTGTTCTAACCTGTCAACATCTTTTAAATACCTTTTCAAAATACTTACTTTCCTTTCCAGCCTCATGTTATCTTCTCATTTCACAAGTGGAAGTTTTCAGTCATGGGGAGAAAAAAAAAAAAGGCTAGAACAACCAAGTGGCAGGAGCCCCATTCATTTTGATATTCTGTTTATTATTGTACACATTGAGTTCGAGTTCCTCAGTCAATCATAGACGTTTACATTTACCTGACTATGCTATCACCGACCTCACATTTCTATCTCTAGTCCAATGACACATCATTAATGACTTGGAAAATATCTTGCTACAAGCCACATGGCCTATGTCTCTGATATCCTTAATCTCTCCTTCTAATAAACCAGTCAGTAAAAGATGCAGTTCACAGTGAACCCCTATCGCTGCTTAGTAATCATTACTTCCTTTTCCAAGTGTTTATTGACCTTTTGTGTAATAATTCACCTTAGAATTTCCCAGGGATTACATCAACTCATGAATCAATATTTGCCAGAGTCTACATGTTTTCCCTTTTGAATACAGGAACCTTTTTATGTTGGATGCCACCTTTCCTGGTTTCTAAACTTCCCAGCTGTTACTGACCTGACTTCTGTGGTCACATTGGAAGGACCTGTACTCAGGCACACAGCTCTCTTTTGCCCTTTCTAGTTTGAAGAGCATTCTCTTTATAGAGGAGATAAGTAAATCTGCTTTCTGTTGCTATTAAATCATCTCATCTAAGAAGTGTTCCTGACTTTGGGCTGTTTTTTTTCTAGCCCTAAATATATCTTTATATTCCTTTTCACTTGTCTTGGGTTTTGACTTCATTCCTGGAAGTATATTAAAGTTGTCTGTGCAAGACTTTTGTATTCATCCCCAGTTATCTACTCCTCTGTCATGTGTACACTTAATACACTTAATCACACCTGTTCCCTTGGCAGCAACGTGCGTTTCTTTAGATGCCTTCCTCTTTGATTCTACATTTGTTAAATCCTGTCAGATTATTATTTTTGTAGTTTTTTTGTAAGATACACTTCTGATGTATGTCCCATGTTCCCTTCATCATCCATCCCAAATTCCAAAGCCACCTGGTAGCCTTCCCCCAATGATTCATGACTTCACCACCACCTACCAGTCCCCGCCTTCCTATTTGATCAGAGTTCAGTACTTTGTAGCACTTTTCCTTCCTACTTCTACATTTTTTGAAATGAGTTTGCTCACGGGACAAGTAAAAAGTTAGTGATACCCTGGTTTTAGTAGACAGGTTGGGGCAGATCTTTAGATAGCTGAAATCCCCACGGTACCACCGCATCATGTTCCTGAGCTAGATTCATTGTTGTTCCTGGGAATTCATCATCCACATCCCCATTCTGCCCACATGGGCTGCCTATAGCAGAAATTTCAAGCTGTGTTTCTCCAACTCCCAGAGTTCCAAGGAGGTTCAAGGACAACCCCAAGCAACAAGATAGGGGCCAACTGAAGGGGTTCTGGGGCCCCACCCCTGCTTTCGCCAGAGTCGCTCTCTGTTTTGTATCTTATGCATTGAGTTTCTGTGTAAGATTTTCTTCCAATATTTTGTTATAAAAATGTTCAAGCATATAGATAAGGCAAAAGAATGATACAGTGAACCCCTGGAACCCCACCACCTAGAGTCTGTATATAAATCAAAGTAAGTTGTAGATATCAGGGTACTTACCCCTAAATGTTTCAACATGCCTGTCATTACCTATTGTTCAATATTTGCTTATGGTGTTTTTTAATTAAATTTACATATAGTTGAAATACACAAAAAATTTTTTTTAAAGGTTCTATTTATTTATTTGTCAGAGAGAACACAAGCAGGGGGAGCTGCAGGCAGAGGGAGAAGCAGGTTCCCCGCTGAGTGAGGAGCCCGATGTGGGACTTGATCCCAGGACCCTGGGATCATGACCTGAGTCAAAGGCAGACGCTTAACCAACTGAGCCACCCAGGCACCCCTTAAGGTGCCCCTTAAGGCCTTTTGATGAACACTGACAAATACATACACCTACATGATCCAAACACCTATCAAGATATCACTATTATCAGCCCTGAAGTTCCTTCAGGCTAACTTCTGAGTCAAGCCCTCCCCGCCCCCCCACTTCTATTCTCACATGAGAAGACTATTCCATTGTTTTTCACCATAGATAAGTTTTACCTGTTCCAAAACTTCATATAAATGGAATGATCAAGGGGCGCCTGGGTGGCTCAGTCGTTAAGCATCTGCCTTGGGCTCAGGTCATAATCTCAGGGTCCTGGGAAAGAGCTCCACATTGGGTTCCCTGCTCGGCGGGAAGCCTGCTTCTCCCTCTCCCACTCCCCCTGCTTGTGTTCCTGTTCTCGCTATCTCTGTCTCTGTCAAATAAATAAATAAAATCTTAAAAAAAAATAAAATAAATGGAATGATCAAGTAGGTACTGTTTTGTATCTGGCTTCTTTCATTCAGACAATGTTTCTGAGATTCCTCCTTGCTGTTCTGTGTAATAATAGTCTGTTCCTTTTTATAGCTGAATGGAATTCCATTGTATGGATAGAACAGAGTTTGTTTATCCACACAGCTATCAATGGGCACATGCTTTTCAAGTGTTTGGTTGAAATAAAGCTGCTATCAACATTTTTGGATGAATCTTTGTGGACGTGATTTCTCCCTCTTATGTAAATATATAGGAGTGGAATTTCTGGGTCATAGGGGGAAGTGCATGTTTAACTTTTTAAGAAACTGCCAGACCTTTTCCAAAGTGATTGTATCATTTTACATTCTCATAGAGAAGGTAAGAGAGTTCCAGTTGCCAACATTCAGTGTTGTCCAACTTGTACAATTTAGCTATCCCGGGAGCAGATAATGTGATCTCACTGTGTTTGTCATTTATGTTTCCCTGATGACTAATGATACTAAGCACTTCTTTGTTTCCTTATTGACCATTTGTGAAGTGTTTGTAGAAATCTTTTATCCACGATGTTAAGTTGGATTGTTTCTTTTTACTCTTGAGTTCTACTATGTAAGATCTGATTGAAGAAACAGTTTCATAATTTAAAAGCATTTGAAAACCCCTGGTCAGTATAAACTACTTTGATAGTATCACTTCTCTTCCTCTTTTCTGTCTTAATCTGGTTTTTCTGGCACACTTTCGCTCCTAAATATGTTGACCCAAGCTGATGAATATTTCTAGCTGTATAGTCATACTCCTCCAGTGCTCTGAGTCTGTGGGACAAAGTTCTCCATCTGTTAAGGACTGAATGTTTGCTTCCCCACCAAAATTCATATATTGAAGCCCTACCTTCCAATGTGACTGTATATACAGAGAGGGAATTTGCAGAAATAATTAAGGTTAAATGAGAGCATAAGGCTGGGGTTCTGATCCAGTAGGATTAGTGTTCTTGTAAGAAGAGACACCAAAGAGCTCACTCTCTCTCTCTCCATGCACACACACACTGAGGAAAGGCCATAAGCACACTTGCTGTGTTCTCATAGGTGGTGTGCCCAAGCCAGGAAGGGAGCTCTCACCAGGAACCATATCGGCTGATACCTTGATCTTAAACTTTCCAGCCTCTTCGCATAACTGTGAGAGATGAATTTCTTTTGTTTAAGCCCCCTCCCCCGGAGGTGGTATCTTGTTAGAACAGCCCTACCCCATTAAGACACCATCCCAACTGCAGTAATCTAGCATTGAGTTCCATGTCATTGGGTCTTAATGAGATCCCTTCACCACACAGCAATCTCTTTGCCCAAAGTCCAAGTTCCATTTGTTAGACTCTAATGTCAGGTCGTCTTCTTGACTCTTTTTCTTGTTCTCCTTTCCTAGGAGTGACTTGGCCTATCTTCCAGGCAGTTTTCTTTCAATGACTAATACGTGCTCTTATATATTCAGTTTTACAGTTTAAAATCTTCTTGATGAGGTATTAGTCCCGTTATTTCTAGCCTCCCTGGAATAAACTCTTCTTGCCCAGAGTCCATCCATTTTTCTAGTACCTTAAATCGTGTAGCAGAAACCCCAGCTCTCTCCTTGGATGCCATCTATATAGCTGGCCAACCGTTCCCTTAAGCCTCCATTCCCTTCCACTCTACCAGCGAGGCTAAAATACACCATGTCATTTATATTTCTAAAACCCACCCTTACGTTCTCGAGTCTCCTCCTCGGAAAACCAAAGGCTCTAGAGAATTGTTCTTCTGAGAGGAACTTTGTCCATTAAGTGTTACAGGCAGAGAAACTCTATGTGAAATGTTGTGAATCTGGGGAGAGGGTACATCGCTTTCATCAAACTCTCAGGAATTTCTCACCAAACAGCAGTTAACACCCAGTCCTGTGGGGACATATTCCAGATTCTCTGTTCTGTCATGACTCAGGGGAAGAGGCAAGTTGTGGTAGTGAGTCCTGATGAGTGATACACAAATGTGTGGTTTGACGTGGTGACCCAGAAGGACAGCTCATCGGACCAGCTCTGCCAGGTCTTCAGGAGGCTCCTTTCATAAGCCCTCAGGGAGCCACCAAACATTCCTGCTGGCCTGTTCCTCCTGGGGGAGCAGCTAGTTTCCTGGAAATGTCTAGTAACTGCGAATTCCCTTTATTGTTCCATGGAGCAGTGATCTTGCTTCATATTCTGAGAATCTTTAATCCCCCTCTGCTGCAAGAATCTCAGCTTTGTTAAATTGTTTTAGTGGCTCAGAACTTTTTCCTCTTTTTCCTCTGTCACTTTCTTTCCCTCTGCAACGTGATTATGATCACCTTAGAATATTTTTTCTCCTGAACCTTTCTTTTTGGATTTCTTCTTTCATCCTGTCTAGCAACCGTATATCCCATTATATAAGTAGGGGTATGGAGCAGCATTCCTCAGGCTCTTTTTCTTTGTCCACCTCAAGAAATAAGCTTGTATGTGTAGTAGATACAGTGGGTAGGTTCCTGCTTCCAACTGGGAGACCAGCAGGACACACGGCTGCAGCCACTATAGCTGGCCTCTTTGCTCCCATGACCTCACATAGAACTATGTGAATAGTGGTTTCCCTTGGAAATCCTTATTTTCAATGCTAGAAAATGTGCCTATTTTCTGGCAACTAGTGGCTCTGGAAGGCTTCCTGGAAATATGGCCTGCCTGTCTGCTTCCCTAATCTTTCTACACTCAGTATTCTGTTGAGGAGTGGGCATTTCCACTCCGCTGTCAGGTAGGGGTCTGCCCGATACAGAGAGATCTTGACTAAGAGTATTTCAGAGTCATACACTCTGCTGCACCTGTCTCCTGCCATGTGTCTGTGCTGGTTTCATGTTCCTTAGCATGCCAGTCCTAAAACCCTCTGGAAGCTTCTCCTGTTACTGAGACCAGTTTCCATCGGGGACACCGATGGCCCTCTCACAACCTCAGAAAAAGCGTGCAGCTTCCCACATCGGTCAGGGTATTCTCTGGTTGTTGCTGAGAGGATGGAAAAACTCTCCCTCTTTAAATGGCTCTCGCTGGAGCTGTTTTTGCCAGGCCATGGCTCATGAGCCAAAAATGGAAGCTGGTTTCTGGTGGCAGCTTCGGCTTCCACCACATGTCAGGACTGCCCAGTGTGAGCAGCTGACTCATATTCCACCCTCATCCTTCCCCACCTGGGATGAACGTTGTGTGGCCTGGGTGTGCAACTCTGAAGAGCTTTCCGTAATCACTCATAAGTTGGGCTCTTTTATTTGGTTATGCTTGTTGAAAAGGAGCTTACTTTGTTTTAAAACCAATTATTTGAGTGTTGCCAGTGAAAACTGTTTACAGTATCCGTGGCAGAAACTGCTGTGTTCATTTTAAATCTTACTTTAGGCCCCAGGATTATAAGCGGTCCCTTGCTCTTCTGTCCTAGCCTGGGCTGTGGTACAAAAGCCACTATGGGAGATGACTGTGAAGACACTTCTGAACTCAAATGTGAGCCAGACTAACCATCAGGAGTTTACACTAGAGACCCGTGGAGAATGTACATTTAATATTTGAGAGAAACAAATAAGCTTTGTACACTTCATTAGGCTCCCAGAAGTAGGGTCTGTAGTCTAACATTTCGTTCCTTCCTTCACAAACTACATACTGAGGACCCATGATGAGCCAGGTAATGTTTTAGGGAAAAAAGAGACTGAGTGCCTGCCCTCATGGAGCTTACACTCTAAAGAAACAGAGGGAAGTTGCTGCTTAGATCGACTGCTTAATTTGTATCCACTAGAAGCCACTCTGGAAAAGAACATGGGGGAAGTAGTCTGGAGACAGGAGTAATGAGACTCTAGATGGGGTGCTCACGGGTTTCTGGCTTTACAGGGCCAGCATGCAAGATTCAAGAAGTATGTGGGGCACAGCGCGCACGTCACCAATGTGAGGTGGCTGCACAGCGACTCTGTGCTGCTCACGGTTGGTGGTGCCGACACCGCCTTGATGATCTGGACGAGGGAGTTTGTGGGGACCCAAGAGAGCAAACTGGTGGATAGCGAGGAGTCGGACACAGACGCGGAAGAGGATGGAGGTGAGTGAGCCCCACCTGCCGCAAGCCAGCTGCCCTTCCCGCACATTCCCTCCCTTCCCCACATTCTCCCTTCCCACTGCCAACCAACTCCATGCCCCTGTTCCTTTCCATTGTTTGAGGCTATGACAGTGACGTTGCTAGAGAGAAGGCCATTGATTACACCACCAAGATCTATGCAGTGAGCATCAGGGAGATGGAAGGCACCAAACCACACCAGCAGCTGAAAGAAGTTTCGGTGGAAGAAAGGTATGGTGTCGCCAGGTTTGTTTGCATTTACTACATCTGATGACAAGAAACTGATTTCAACAAGAGTTCATTTTCTTTGCCTTCAGAGTTGCTACCTCAGCTAGTCTTTTGTGTATATGCACAGAGTCTTAACCTGCATACATGGGGAAAATCACCCGTGGCCCCTTGATATGTGGCAAAGGGTGGGTTACACTTTGCGGAAGTTGGTTGTGTAATATGACTTGAGTAGACGTGAGATCTGGTTGAACCAGGTTTCCCCTTGCCCAGAAAGGATGTCAGGATAGCCACACACTGTCTGGAATGTGATGGCTAACAGGAGACATGCTGATTAGAGAGGTAGGAGGGTGGGAGGGCTTCTAAGGTCCTGGAGGAGTATTTGTGGGTCATGAAAAATAATCCTCTGTTCTTACCAGAGTCTGTGCATTACACTGTATCACTTGGCATACCTTCTCTCATTGTGTCTTCACCTGCCCAAGATTGTTCAGGTGGGTTTGGTGAGTCCAGACCTAACCAATTTGTTTTTGCCACCTCGGGATCCTTATATAGAGAGTTTCAGATGTCATTTTAGGCCTTTCTGATGTGCTGTTATGAGTATTGATAAGGGCAATAGCCAAATACTTAGGCACTTTTAAGAAAAAAGCTCCCAGTTACTACAATTTCTTAATTTACCATATTCATACTAGGAAGGATAAATACTCACTAAAACTCTAACATCTGAAGAGAACTTAATGGATCACAAAAATGTTTTAAGAATTCTCTGTGGGTTCTTTATAATGACATGGGGTTCGGTGTTCACAAGTACCCTTGTCCCACTATAATTAATGAGATTCAAGTTGGTTTTTTGCATTCAGTGTGGCTTTCTGCCTAATAATAATTATTTCAAAAATTTGATCTATCACTTCTTAAAATTAGGTGGGAATGTAAATATAAAGAAATATTTCGCCCTCCTGCTTCAGTTCATTGCTAGATGTTAAAATAAGCTTGAAAAACAGTGGGGGTGCTATACACAAACAGATGGAATCTGCTGCAAAAATCCCTAATTCATCGCTGACATTTTTGTTAGATGTCACTGTGAAGATTCAGAGTTCTCTTTTGCTTAAAAAAAATTAGAGATTTTTCTGCAGTAGTCTATAAATTATGGTTTATCTTCTTGCAACATGGTTTTTCTAGAGGCCACGAAGAGAAAATAATTTTTAAGGGCCTACTACTTAGAATAAAGAAAGAAAAGAATCATATGTACATAAGTGCCTTAATAAATCTCACCCTTAAACAATCCACCCTTAGAAACATTTGGCCTAAATTAAACATTCTTTTGGGAGAAAAATTACTCAACCTTTCCAATGTCATATAACATTATGAAATGAGTTGACTTGGCTATTATTCCAAGGTTGTTTCTGGCTGATGTCTACAACCCAGTGCTTCATCATGTTGAGACTTAGGCCAGCCACTAAGATTTAGAAATCTAAGCAAATTCCCAATTCCAAACACTGCAGTTGGTTTCTAACCTAAACTGAGGCTCATCTGAACTTCCCCTTGTAGACAGCATCTGATCTACAGAAGAGAGAAGGGCGCACCAGACAAGGCAGGATGTTCAAAGACTTTGTGAAAAAGCAGGATGAGAGAAGGAAAGTGGGGTGGGGAGGACTTTTGCAATAAGCTAGGCAAATACCTCACCTGAGTCCTCACCTGGGATAAGAAACGGGCTCTGTGGGCTCCAGCATCCCAAGCAGAAGAGAGAGAGGCAGAGACAGAAATGCTGGGGACCTCAGACAAGAAGAGTCTAGGGTCAGGCAGCACCTGGCTTCTCCCTGCCAGTATTCAGGACTGTCAGCCCTGATACTCTTCCCTCTGGCCCTTCAAACCCTCCTGATTGGAGAGACAGAGGCTCTTCTTGACCTGCCCTTCGTTGTTCCCTCCCAGGCATACCTGTAGATACCTGGGTGCCTTTTCTAAACACCTGGACCAAGACATGCCCCCCAGTAAGACTAATGGGAGACAAACACTGGAGAATTACAAGAGGTGTGAGCTCGGAACAGCCTCTCACTCAATGCAAGGACTTGTTTTGCCTTTTACCAATGTTTCAGAAAATTCTACTTCCGGTTTACATCCTTTTCCACTTTAGAACAGTGAAATGAGCACAGGATCCATCATATTGATAATAGTGCCTTGCAGACAGCTGCACATTATGTACCAGTTAGTTTTTAAGCAACTGCATCTCTAATTCCTCACATTTCAGATAGTCCTAGATTGGTTCTAATTAGACTCAGTTACTTGATTTTAAAAGAGCTGCGAGGCTTCAGATTGTGCTTCTTTGTACAATTTCTAACACACCATGAGTTTTGATTCTTCAACAGTCACCTGATCTTTAGTTCCAATCTCTTGAGAAGTGGGAAATTGGAGAGAAATTTGTAATTGCTCTCAAAAGAATACTGAGTTACACCTACCAAATATGTAATCCCTTCCAAGTGTTTACCAAGTATCGTGGTCTCCCACTTCAGCTTTGCTCTAGCACGCTGGGATGCCTTGCCTCTTTCATCTAGCCACACCGGTCTAGCCAGTACCCAACCTTGGGTGAACTCTTGGGCAATCCTGTTGCTCACCTGCAGTGTGTGGCATGTGGCTGAGGAAAGTCAGGTCTGGGGAACCTGTGCCTTTCGACCTCATCTGCATATTTAGGGCTGCCCCATAGTGCTCTTCTTCATCCTCTGCTGACTTCAGTTCTGGTCTTAAAGCAACCTTTCCAAAGCCCTCCTGCCTCTCACGTTCCCACCTCCACCCTGACACACCCTCTTGCTTTCAACTTCTGGTGTCATTCCTACTTTGCCGTGTTTTCTCAATATTATGGCTGTTTCATCCACCTGCAAACTTAAAGTTATTACTTAATAAATACTTTAAATATCGGTTCTTTTTCAGAAAAGAAAAAAACAGGAGGGGAAGCATGGTTTTCAGAGCAATTTAAGATACAAAACGCCTACCATCATCACAGCACAAGAGAGAGTACCAAAATACTGTGTTCTCACTTCAGTAAAAACAGTTCTGAACTCATCAGGAGAAAAGCCCTGAAATTTGCTCAGCACCAGATTACTAGAGTTGCCTATAAAATTAAGAAGTTTCTTTCACCACTTTACCAAGTTCACACCAAGTTGATATGTCATTTTCTAATTTATAAGGTACGACTTTCAGTTTCAGGGAGGTCACCTAGCCCAAACTGGCCTAAGCGAAAGGAATCTATTGGCTGACAAATCTGAAAATCCAGGGATAGGGTGACTTCAGGTGTCCCATGATAGGGAAACTCAAATCTTGCTTTTCTCTCTCCATATCTCAGTTCTGCTTTCTCTCAGTTATTGCAATTCAAGTAGCAAAATGACTACAGTGCCTGGACCTTAGAGCCCAGCAGGAAAGAACTACCTCTGATTGACAAGTCCTTGCAAATGTTTTATGATGTATTATTGGCTCTGGTGGGTCACATGACCACCCTTGAACCAGTCACTGGTGATCTGTAAACTATGAGCCTTTTATTGACTGTTCAAGTAAGTAATTATATGCCACCCATAGACTAGTAGTGTAATCACCTCCACCAGAAGTGAAAGTCCAAGGTGATTAACAAAATTTGATTTTAAGCTTTATTTATTTATTTGACATGGGATGGGGGGAAGAGAGAGCAAGCACAAGCAGGGGGAGCGGCAGGTAGAGGGAGAAGCAGGCTCCCTGCTGAGAAAGGAGCCCGATGTGGGGCTCTATTGGAGGACCCTGGGATCACAACCCAAGCCGAAGGCCGCCACTTAACCAACTGAGCCGCCCAGGTGCCCCCAAAATTTGATTTCTGTATGAACCCAAAGCAGGACAGGTCTACTGCCCTCCGCCTTTTTTTTGGTCATATACACACTCTTAAAATGCTCCACTTTAAGCTCTCCCACATAAATGATTGGAAACACAGTTAGCCCCTCCCCAAAGAGTTTCAATCAGTTACTGTGTCCAGCCCCACATCCAGGATCTCAGGGAGCTATGAAGTCTTCTCATCCAGGTTCAGATAAAGTTCTTCATAGTCCTGTGACTGATGATAATGTTGACCACCCTAACATGCCAAATAGACAGTGGTAAAGAGAGGACAGAATGAGGATAGTTTTTTAAACTGCCACTTGGAAGGAGAGAGAGTGAGACACAATACGTACTGCTCTCTGGTCCACGTCCATATCATCCCCTGCTGGCTGGGACAGTCATAGACTCCTGCTCTTGCCACGTGCTTGTTTTGCACAACTAAATAGTAATACGAATGTTAGAAGAGGTCAACAGTCAGAGGATGTAAAGGTTGTGTTTGTTATGACGAAAGATACACCAAGTGAAAACAGAGTAGGAGGTAACACACTATCTTCTAAAAGAACCAACTTCCCCTAGTCTTTCAAATTCCTCCTGGAACATAACCGATGCCCCTGTGGGGTAAGGATTCTACCAGGCACCAGAAACTCCCGTGTCATTCCCATAGAACTGAATCCTCCCCTCCCACCCCCACCCTGCCCAGAACTCCTCCCGGACTCTTCCAGAAACTCTGGCTCTGTGTTTGGCTACTCCCCAGATGACCATGACCAGTGCACACAGTAAGACAGGGAGGAAAGGTCAACATTAAGAGACATCACCCAGAAGGCCCAGGCTTTAGGTGGATCTAATTCCATTTTTGATCCTTTACCCTCTGGCCTAAGAGTTGGCATTCATAGCATCAACTTAGCAGGAAAAGGACTTTGGACATTTCAGACTGATAACTACCTGGATACTCAAAGTCAGTCATATCAGTGAAACAAATTACTGTTTTCTTTTGAAAAATCCATTAAATCATTTTTCATTCTTTTTGTCCTCATATTTTGATGATAAACTCAGCACTGGTTAATTGGTTACTGTTGGTATATATTCCTTTTTAAAAGCATAGTTCTTGTTTGTCTCTTGAGGTAATAGTATAACATTTTTAGGTGCAGCCGATTCTGATGGTGCTATTGTTATCATTGTTT